GAAAATTTAAGGAGTTATTATTATGTACGTTTAGATGATACAACCGGTAGGATACTTTTGCACGTTACTGTAAATACAGACGCGACACCATAAATGACAGATAAAAGGCATTGGCAACGTTGTTTCATCATGATATTCACCACGACATGTTGCAGGGAGAGGCACCGGCACATCCTGCATCAAATTTGGGCAACAAAGCTGTCGAGAAGAGGTTTTGACCTTTCCAAAAGTCTAAGAGCTGACTGTTGCGACGTATCGACGATGAATGTTAAATCGCCCTTGAAAGAATTTATATTTGCTAATTCGAGGAGTTGTGGCTTATTGTTATGTCCACATCTTCCGTCAGGAAAAGTAAAACAGATACAAAGACAAGATTTAAGTCCCGTTAGTGTGGTCTTAACTCGGTTTGCAGGCCACTGGAAATTTACCATATTCTTTTATTATAGTCAAGAAATCCAACACACTTTTCCAACACTTTTAACGTCGCACGGTATATTCCCATATATAGGGGGATCATCACGATTATGACCAGCGAAAATTCCGGTCGTTTGAATAGTATAATGATCACTTGGTAAGAAGGAGAGAAGGAAGCTTTTTCCTAACTCAAACAATGCAATAAAAAGCAGGCCATAACGGCGGAGATACCGTTTCAGTTAGGGCGAAATGTATACCTCTTTTCTTTTATTTAATCAGTCATCGACAGTTAGACATACATGTACTGTATATTTGCCAATCGAAGATTCCTTCATAAACAAATTCAACAAATCAGCATTGTACTTCTGTCGTTAAAACAAACATACGATTTTATTTCGTGAACGTGAAATGTCGTACTATTTGTCTATTGTGCTATTTGTTAGATTATCCGTTAGAATAATAACGTTTATTGCATTTGCCAATTGAAAGTTTAATCTAACAAGGATATTAGATATGGACGTAAATTTGCGTCCTGTAAAGGATTCATCTAATATTAGCATTGTCCTGAAAGTATACACCCGAAGCTGAACGAGAAGCTAAACTGTGGGATTGGCTGTTGGGAACTGAACAGCTTGACCTAACAATCAATCAAATCGATCTTAACCAGATGTTCATCGGAGGACGTGCCTACACAATAATTTAATAAAAGTTATATGTCACTGACTTGATTAGTTATACATAGAATATAAAGTTGGAACATATTTGCGTTAGAACTATACGTCTATTTCAGCCTAATATGTATGTAATTATCACAATCTTGCTATACATGAGTAATGAAGATCCTTACGATCAATGGGTTTAATAAATATCTTGTATGTTCGCTGAGTTTTTCATTTCCTTTTACTACGTCTCGAGTTGCGAGGAGTTTATCTTGCAATGTGGGATTGGTTAACTCGGAATCGTGATAGTATCAATTCAACAGAATCTCGGTTATTTGTCTTTGCCTTCATAGGTAACAAATACTAAGAATTCGTTTTTAGATATTTATTTAAGGTCATAGTAATTCCTTCACTCCTATAGACTCTAATAGATTTGCTAAGGTTTATGTGCTCTTCAAATACACTGCCCTACCATAAATCACCGGATTTCATATTTTTTTACTAGTAAAACATATGAAAAGTCTTTTTTTTCAAAAATCTCTCCTGCCCATGTGTACTATGTGAATGACAATAGTTTTTGTATGGTTTTGAAGCCAATTAATTGTGCTTTTCGAAAAAAGTTAACGGTAAATTATATACATTATCATTATAAAGCTATAGCTTTGTGAAGTGGCAGTCTTTAAATTATGGTATAAATATATGATTATATATGTGGAGTACATATACTCTTACTTCCTTGATTCTACAGTTTTATAACAAGAATATACTGTTGATTTTTTTCAAAAAGCACAATTAATTAGCTTTAAAACCATACAAAAACTATTGTCATTCACGTAGTACACATGGGCAGGAGAGATTTTTGAAAAAAAAAGACTTTTCATATGTTTTACTAGTAAAAAAATATGAAATCCGGTGATTTATGGTAGGGCAGTGTATATGTAATAATAATTGTGATGGCTGATGCTGAAATCCCCGTGACCAATTTCCTTATGCGTTTGGGAAACAAACCAACTTTTTGCGAGTTAAGGAAGTATTAATGAAGGTTTCGATAGTTTGTTATGTTTCGATTTCTCAATAAAAGTATTTTCAGATATCTCGACCCTCCACCTGGATATACCACTATTACTATCAGTCCTTTGCTTTTCGCAAAGGCTCGAATTCCCTCTGAGAAATAGACACCACATGCGACACCTATTGGTCTCTTTTTCAATAGCGGTTTGAAATTATTATCGTCAGCCTCCTTAACTTTCGAATAAAAATTCGACAATCTTTGAACGAGATCGTATATATATTGCTAAAACATATCTCTTTAATAAAGATAGCTCGCCAATAACAAAAGCAAACGAAATATATACTCACTTCAGTCATTTTGTGTTTCGCAAAGTACAAAAAAACATAGTTGTCTGAAGTGAGAACGCCATCCCATTCCATCAGATGCTTCCCTTTTGAATTTTGTATAGTTTGATGTTGAAAAATTTCTATGGAGGAATTTTCATGCTTGGTAAAAGCATTCTTTATTGCCCTTGAGATTGTGGATACCGTGGACAGCCATTAATAATACATGTTTCCGACCACATCTCGACGAGATCATGAATGATTTGAGCCACAAACTCCTTGCCATTGTCAGACTGCAGTTTAAGCTCCCCCCCAAAAAAAAGGTTTTTTCCCCTTTGATGGTTTCGTCTTCCATAGCAGTATCTTCAACCTGTGACCATGTATTTCTCTACTGAAGGGCTTCAACGTAGTCAGAATCGATGGCGTATTTTTGGTTGTCAATAATCTTATTAATAGATGTGACCAATTGAGGTTCACCGAATAACGGTCGCATGATAATCTTTTAATAATGATCGAAATTCTTTTTCTGTATTCAGTTAATGGATCCCCATCTTCATCATATCGTTGGAGCTTTTTTCTATAGCAACATATAACCAGAAAAATCAAAGAACAGAGCGCAATACCCAAGGACAAGGAAAGAGAGAATTAGTATAAAAAAAAGTAGAAAGGCGTGAATCACCAGTAAAGAAAAAGATTTAGAGATATCCATACCTTGGGATGGTAGCAAATTGTGACAATTTATACGTAAATATGAAATAAAAATTGCAATGCGCAGAAAACCGTGAGAAGAGAATAAAGAAACATGATAACGATAAAAATACCATTGTAAGTTGTTTTATCATATTTGAATGGCAAAGTTTAAAGAGACGTACAAATTTGTTCATTAATGGTAGCAAGAAACATAGTAGCATTACTTACCAGATGGGCATTTGACAATAATATTGATCTCATCATCAGGAGGCCGGCTTGAAAAATATTCCGTAATTTTAGAATTCCCTTGGCGTAATAAAACTCCCCCAAGTCCTTTTTCGATATCGGTGCAAGGTGCTGGTATGTCACAAAGTGTGACTAGGGTTTCGAATTTACAACCTTTTTTTGTGGTGGAAATTTCGACTTTCCAGACTTCAATATCTTTTGGAGGAACATCCTCAAACGTGTCACTTAAGTTAGCGTCACTCTGCAATGTTCTTTTCAGATTGGAAATGGTCATATTTTTTGGAACTTGGACTTCGAAATTCTTATCGGGATGGTCACCTAAGAGTAGGCAGGTTAAAGTTAAAGTAGTCATTATTGGCAATATGGCACTTTAGTTTTTCTCAGTAATACGCTGTGTCTGGATTGAGAACCAAGGAAACATAGGAAAAAAATCTGGTAGTATCATGTTTTATTTATGAAGTTTGGTGATGCAAAAAATGATTAATGTTATTACTTGGACAGACCATGTAAGGGGGGTTCATTTATCACCCGATATCATCCAATTAATATCCATTATACATAATAACATATAAACTACATGATATATTACGTGATAATCAATATATACTACGCACATACTAATACCATGTATGTATAATAAAAAACACGTGATAAATGGCACCTAATAATATAATCATTTTTGTCGAACTTATGCAAGTACTACAAAAATCCGAAGACCTTGCATAGGAGGGCTATACGAAAATAAATTTTATACGCTTGGGATCCAAAGCTCTTGACTAAGTCAAAGTGAACGTTCCTATTCTTTGAGTCTTCATCTAGTTTAGGTCATCGCTAAACTCGATAGTAAACCCCGATATTTCTCGAAGAAATCGTACGCCATCTAAGGCTAAAAGAAAAAAGAGATTTTTAAATGATACAGCATCTTCATCCTCACATCTGGGTCTTCATCTGAATCGTCTAATAATAAAGATTTTACTGTGGATATGGTAAAAGTGAAGAAGCGTGATTAGTTACCATCATCAGAAAGTCGGAATGGTCTTGCTTCTTCAGGTGCTTGTCCCCGCTTCCTATAGTTTATTACAACGTAATTTTGAACTGGAGAATCAGGGTTGTGACGTAAACATTCTCCAGCGATTGTCATAGATTCTCTGCTTTGTGTACTACAGCGCCATAAACTGTGACCAATTTACGCAAATGTCGAGGAATTAAATCATAATCTTTTAAGAACCTATTGAACCATTTAACCCCTGGCTTACCTGGATCACCCATTCGACCAGAAGATATAGAATTCTGTATCCAGGTTAGTAATTCTTTGGCTCGTTCTTGATTCTTTCCCATAGATCTAAATTTTCGAGGAATATCTGGCTGACCTCTGTTCTTCGCATAACCCGTTACTCCAGAGTCTGTAATGCGTAAAGTTATAAGTTCAGCAGGGCGGATAATTAATTAGTTTGAAAAAAGAATATCGATATACTAATGCTTCAAGTTCTTGAGATATATTTAATGACCATCGATTCCATCCTCTTTATCTTCTACTCCATCATCAGAAATACTGTTTTCTCAAACTTATAGTTCTTCAAATACCACGTACCGATGAACTGCAAAAAGTTTTACGCTTACGTTATGAAGAAAATTATGCTCAGTTTCCACTCTTATTGCTCGCGCTTATTATACCCGCAATCTGCAAAATGGGTAAATAAATCTTACTACTAATACACGCAACCCAGCAATTTGCGATTAATGCAATCAAATCCCAATAATCGAATATGCCTTTCATTTGCTCCAATATCTCAATATACCAAAAAATATCTTCTCCTTTCTACTGCTATCAGTTTTGGTTATGTTGTTATGTTGGATCGAAATTATAACTGACATACATAGTCTCTTGCCTTTCGTGCATTTAATATAATACTGCTACATACAGGAAAAAGCTGTTCTGTTCTCGCTATTAACACGCCTATTTGTTTTTCACTCACCTTGAAGATCAAACAATTCAACTGTCACGTTCCCAAAAGTCTGCAACAACCGTACCTCCTGTTCGAACTTGGTTATGAACCATTGACGTAATCAATTCTCCAGCCAAAATGCGCAATAACAAGCCACTCCGGTACTGACTCTACACTTTGTCTTGCAAGGTATCTATAACAATAAGCTCTATATAGAACTTCTTTCAACACCTCAACCATCCTGGTCTCCCGATCTCAACTCCTTATGTACAAATCGCTCAGAAAACCACCTCTCCTTCATCACAAAAACGAAAAAGAACCAACAAAACCGATAACCCAACCACTCCCATTGTCGAAACATCAACAGCAACGAGCCACCAGGATATCGATTCCCTATCCATAACAAAAAAAAAAGCCAACAAAGCCTCGGGAAAGGCAATTACGTTCGAACCAATTAAACAAAGTTGCAAGTTTGGCCGTCAACAAAGCTAACTTACCCGTATAGGAGTCACAATTATACCTAATCCATACTAATATATCTGATATATACAGTATTATTTGTCAAGCAACATATTAATATAAATAAATATGTATAACTTATTACACTATTTAATAGTAAATGCTATAAAGTCCTACACTATTCAATGGTAAATGCTATGCGATTCATTATAATTTATCGGTATATCACGAGGTATGACTGTGTTACGTATACATACATGTGTGATCGTATTGCGATCGAATTCTCCCAAAAATATGTCCCAAGGTCAATCACCAAACAGCACGTATGAGTGGTTGGCTAAGAGTATCCAGGAAGGTTTTATCAAACACTATTCGGAAGATGACATCGTAGATCGTACACTTCTCGGTCATGGTGGATACAAGGCCAAGATAAAGCATTCTGGAAACCCAGTCGAAATGAAAGCCTTGTTGCTAAATCGGCGTGGATGTGAAGAATCATATAAAGACTTCGTCAAAGAGGTTGTCAATGGTTACCTGTTTTTTAATTATTGCATAGCGATAGCTTTAAGGGCTGTATGAACTGAATTACTTTACAATCCATAACATAATAGCTGAGAACTCATAAACAGGTGGATGATCATCCAAACATTATTCGATTCTTAGGAATATCTCAAGGTAAAGGTGCATTATTATTAATTAATGTTAGTATTAGTATTAGATGTCATGACTTTCTGTATATAAGTGATTATAATTTATTCTGCTCTAATAACATCTATAACATAAAGCAGATTTATCTGGTCCATATTATATGGTGATTGAATATGCAGATGGTGGAACTTTGTGTGAACACTTGCAAAAACACTTCTCTGAGCTGACATGGAAGGACAAATACAAACTGGCTTTGGGGGTTACTGATGGGCTGATGTATTTACATAAACTCAAAATAGTTCACAAGGGCTTGGTATGTATTGATGGGCATATAGTAATAGTAAAATATATACGGAATCATAATTTAATATATTAATTGTTACTATTATAGTCTTCCAAAAATATTCTTATCCAAGAAGGCATCACAAAAATAACAGACTTTGGATTGTCTAGTATTCTCAAACAGACTATGTCCAAATCAAAAGATGAAAGAAATATTAATATGGCATATATTGATCCATTATCTTTTAAAAAGAAATCTTATAAATGTGGAAAACAATCAGACATCTTTAGTCTTGGGGTGATACTTTGGGAGATTTCAAGTGGAAAACTTCCATGTGAAGGGGCTACCACAAGTTATGAAGTTTTCTTATACAGATTGAATGGTTCCCATGATTCTCCTTTTCCTGGAACATCTGAATATTATATTGATCTATATTCTAAATGCTGGGATGAAGACCCAACCAAACGTCCATCAATTCAAACAGTAAACAAGTTACTCAAGTCATTGATTACCCAATCACCACTGCATACATTAGATCTGAGTGATTGTCAGATTGGATATTCAGAAGTAACAGCTTTAGCAAAGGTTGTTGAACTGAATTTCTCTGCACATTCTTTAAGTTTAGTTTATAATAAGATTACACATACAAGAGTAACAACTGCTTTGGAAATGCTCTAAGAGATTCTTTTTCTGTGATATCTCTAAACCTTCAGGGTAATCAGATAGGAGATACAGGAGCAACAGCTTTGGCAAAGGCTCTGGAATCAAATTCTTCTTTAACATCTTTAAATCTTCAGAGCAATAAGATAGGATATATAGGAGCAACAGCTTTGGCCAAGGCTCTGGAATCAAATTTTTCTTTAACATCTCTAAACCTTCAGTATAATAAGATAGGGGATACAGGAGCAATAGCTTTGGCAAAGGCTCTGGAATCAAATTCTTCTTTGATATCTCTAGATCTCCAGTATGCTCAGATAAGAGATACAGGAGCAATAGCTTTGGCAAAGGCTCTGGAATTAAATTCTTCTTTAACATATCTAGATCTTCAGTATAATCAGATAGGAGATGCAGGAGCAACAGCCTTGGCAGAGGCTCTGGAATTAAATTCTTCCTTAACATCTCTAGATCTCCAGTGTAATCAGATAGGAGATACAGGAGCAACAACCTTGGCAGAGGCTCTGAAATCAAATTCTTCCTTAACATCTCTAGATCTTCAGTATAATCAGATAGGAGATACAGGAGCAACAGCCTTGGCAAAGGCTCTGGAATTAAATTCTTCTTTAACATCTCTAGACCTTCAGTATAATCAGATAGGAGATACAGGAACAACAACTTTAGCAAGGGCTCTGGAATCAAATTTTTCTTTAACATCTCTAGATCTTCAGCATAATCAGATAGGAGATACAGGAGCAATAGCTTTGGCAAAGGCTTTGGAATCAAATTCTTCTTTAATATCTCTAGACCTTCAATACAATATGATAGGAGATATAGGAACAACAGCATTTGCAAAAGCCCTGGAACTAAATTCTTCTTTAATATCTCTAAATTTGCATAATAGAAATAATCAGATAGAAGAAACAGGAGCAACAGCTTTGGCAAACTTTCTGAAACCAAATCCTCCTTTAATATCTCTAGATCTTCAAAGTAATCAGATAGAAGGTACAGGATCAACAGCTCTGGCAAAGGTTCTGGAATTAAATTCTTTTTTAACATCTCTAAACCTTCAGAGTAATAAGATAGGAGAT